TGTGTCATCCTTCTCCTTGAGGTGTGTCATCCTTCTCCCTGAGGTGTGTCATCCTTCTCCCTGAGGCGTGTCATCCATCTCCATGAGATGTATCATCCTCCATGCGTTGTGTCATCTAATTCTCCATTAGATCTGAAATTCTCCTCCGTGTGAGGTGTCTGTCTATCAGTAATTGTTGTCACCTCCAGGGTCGGGAATAGAAAGTTCTAGTGCGTACTGATTTACTTATGAATCGAAAGATGTTTTTAATTTGTTATTCATGTTGCTGATTGCCTGAAGACCTTGGTCAGAAACCACGGTATTTGTTTACTTGATGTAAGTGAAAGGTTGTGGTTTTTGATGCAAATTATTCCAAAATGGTGAACAACATCTTACATATGCATATTTAAAAATCGCGACATCAGACAAAACATTTTGAAACATGTAAAAAATGATCCAAGCTGCAATTTTGAAAAAGTGTATAGGATTCTCTATCGATTCTATTGATGTTGCTCTTACTTACTCACTCTTGTGTTTTTTTTGTAGCTTTATCTATTTTTGATCGACACTTAACGAAAAAAACAAAAAACAAAACACAGCTTGAACATATCACTTGGCATGATCTTTAAGCAGCCTAGTGATAAAGTGCAGTCACACGTTTAATTTATTGGTCAAATTGTAAAGTACAGTACAAGACAGGAAAAAATGAGACAAAATATATAAAATAACTTTATCAAAACAACACATTTACTATAAATAAACTTTGTTTAATTGATTTGTCAAGAGAAAAGTATGCCGTTTATTGATTAGTAAAAAAAAATCTGTCAAGAGTTTTCTGACAGTTCTGTGAAATATTTGCACATTGCAATAAAATTTTTGGTGACATTGGAATTTGTTTTCTCGATGTTGTTGCAAGCTGTTTTTGCATTTTTAAAGGTATTTTTTTCCATCAAAGAATTAGATCTTTTTATTTGCATGTAAGCTGTTTGAGTTATTTTTAACGCTGTTTAGTCTGGTGGGAGAATGTCTTTAGTGATTTATGATCCCGCTTCGCTTGAACGAAGGCAATAAATTAGACAAATACAATAGCACTTTGCTGCCACTAAAGTAATTGGAAAAAAACGAGACTAGATGGTTTAACATAAAGGTACATCAATCCACGTACTCATAGTTCTTACATAAATCAGTTGAATTTGAGTTCAGGATTGACAAACGTATTAGTAGATAAAAGAAATCTATTATTCATTTTATTGTCTTATTCAAATTGGATGTCATGCTGTCCTGGTGCTGTCTTGTCTGCTATTCAATTCGTACCCTGTCATGTCCTACGGAGCAAAGTGAAGTTTTTATCGTTAGGAGAGTAAACTCCTCTGACACTTGTGAGCATTAGCAACCTACGAATGTCTTATTCATCACCAGGAAACCAAGCAAGATGATATAGAATCGCGTCTAAATTTCATAACTTCATTATAGAGATGTTTAATTGGCTTCATGGTATTGAAAAAAGTCAGTTATGATGCTATGTAAAAGGAATAGATTATTGATCAGTCATTTGGAAAGTCCTTTCTTTATTCCAAGTCTGTGGATTCAAAATCTGGGTTGTCACTAGATTATTGTGAGGCGTATTGCACAAGCCATGAGTACTTTTGAACCCAAGCTTAAAGATGGTATTTTTCCTTCACTTACGAATGAAGAACTAGAGGCACTCGACAATCTTGATCAAAGTATCAGATTCCACGAGACTTTCAGTGATAGTGAAGAACGAGAAACCAAGGAATCAGAAGATGATTTCGAAGACACATGCTCTGAGCTTTCCGACGACAATAGTTTAACATTCACTATTCCTCAAATGTACAATCAGTTTAAGCTACCAGTAATACCAGAAAGTTATGAGACAAGTACTGATTTCGTTGAAAGAAAAGAATCTAAATCTGACAAGATCAATGCAGGGTACATTTTATTTGATGGCTCGGAAATTAAATACGTTAACTACAAAGAAACAGGGACGATGGATTCAGTTCGCGCAACCTCGGTGTCATCTGATAGATTCAGTAGCATCAAAAGCAGGGCTTCCACAACGACACAGACATCAGATAGTATTCCCATTAACCTCTATATCAGCGCTGACGATTTGTTGGGTCAAGACTTTCTCAAGAATGCTCAGGGTTTTTCTCTTGCTCCGTACAGCAGGTTACCAACGAATTCGCACTTTTCTTTGCGCGAGAAGCTGTACTTTTTCCTCATTGGTCTTGCTTGTGTGATTTCATTCAATTCTATCTACATAAGCGTGGCATTTTTTAGGGGAGTTTTAGGAGACCAGGTTTTGCAAATATTGGGTGAGTATGCATGTACTGGTATCTTTTTTTGTAAGATATACAAGCGCGCGTTGGCGTAGAGGATGTTTTGGTTTCATGACTATCTAAGCGGAAAACGGTTTCTGTTCCTAATTTCAATGAAATGCTGCAGGGCTTAGGACCTACTGTGAGATACCTATGGGAAAAATAAGGACTACTGTGATTATCAAAGCAATGCTCCCTACGTATCAAAAATTAGCCTGGTGTTTTTTAATCGCTTCTAAGATTATGAAATAAAAGCTATGGCCTTCAAACGTTATCACTTTCAGTTTCATTCGTAGGGAATTTCTCGCAAAGTAAAATATTCAATTCACAATATCGTAAATAGACTTTAGTGAACACAGATTATGTAACATAAGAATGAAGTATCCGTGGTAATGACCCACCAACACATACGATATTTAAAAATAAATATCCTAAGGCACGTGACAAAAAGGGTCGTATAATTGTACATTCCAGTTACTATGTTATAGTGTCTAATTCAGCCAAAAAATTTGTTCCAAGGAGTTTGAATATAGAGCGCATTCGGAGTGCCTTTCTTTCTATGTATAAATAAACTGATAGTATCATTTTTAACTCTACTCGTTAAGTAGAAGCAATATACCTAAAATCTACACCTGTGTTGATTGAAAAATAATGGACTGTTCGAATTGAGTATTCCTTTATTTAAGAGAAAAAATCTTTTTTTTAGATACATTCAAAAGAAACTAAATTAACGCACTGATTTTAAAGAGAATTACAATTTAGATTTAACATATTACGGTATTCCAAGGTTTACTGATCCTTTAGTGCGGTCAAGGTTAATCAAGAACACTGGCCAATCGTCACATCAAATGTTCCTTTACTATCTTTCTAACTTTACCTAATACAGCTGTGGTTAGAAAACATAATCACTATTCTTATTTTGGCGTATTTCTGTCTTGCTGTTATTTACAATCATCATTAAGGAATTTTGAGGGGGTCTTTCCATTGAATCGCCAGCTGTGTTTTGAGAGCGAAGAGTGGAAAATAATTGTTCAACCGATTGAACTGGTGCAGCCTGTTTCATATCGTTATTTTCTTGGAACTTTTCGAGCAAAGATTTGAAAACAAGGGCAGGCAAAGAAAGCTACTGTATAGCTCACAGGGCACGAGGCTTAGTCAAACTGTTGAGGGATTTATTGATCTTAGAGAAAGCAATTAATTCTGAAAAACCATGCCAACATAATCCCACTAATAGGTTAATTTAACGCAAGACCACTAGAGCTAAAAATCAAACGTTCCGACATTTATTCCTGATGTCGTGTTCTCTTGTTAGTCTTGTTACCTTAAATTCAAAACATCATTTATTCATTTGCTTATTTATCTTAAGGATTAAAGGATTTTTGTGCGCTAGAAATATAGCTTACGCTCGAAAATTCTCGCTTCGATCAGTCACAACGATATCGCTTTAAAACATTTTCAATCACTGAATTGTAACTTGGCGCTTTCATTTTCATATTGAAGCTTATCTTTTTGAATCAAAACTGACTTTCTTTGGACAAAACGAAACCTATATATAACATGATTTCCTTAAAGAAAAATCAAAAATTGTCAAACAAATGCATCTTCAAGTTGAAGCTTATCCGAGTTTTGAATCAAAATTGGCTTTCTTTTGGCAGCATGAAAACTATTTTTTAAGATGATTTCCTTAAAAAAAAAAAAAAAAAAAAAAAATTAAAAAAAAAAATCCATTTTACACAAGTTTTTTTTTAGCGACAGCGTATTAAAAGATACTGTCCATATACTTTATTCAAAACATCAGCATCCCTTCACTGATTCCATTGAATTAAAGTTCTCCTCCCCACTGAGTTATAACATCCTTTATCCCACTCTACTCTCCAGGCTCCTGTCATTATGCTTCACTGCTAGTTGCCATGGCGATGGTCTTTCTGGGCAAGAAGACATGGTTTCAGTTCATCCCGACAATCATCGTGAGCTTCGTGCTAATGGCAGGCGTGGTTGCTGTTTTTCCTGTCTTGTCGGTTCTCAGTGTTACATGCCCTCATTACGTCATCTATATGCTAGTTTCTTTGAATGGCTTGTGTACTGGGTTGGCCTTGGCGACTGTCGATAGGATGGTTTTTTTGTTTCCTGGTGGCAAAAGCAGCTTGCTGTTTCGTCTTGGTGGAGGTTAGTCAGTAGAGTACGAAAGCCTTTTCCCCTCTCTTTATTATTACCCCTCACACGGGGTCTCGGAGAAATGGCCGAGGACGCTTGTTTACTTTCTTACATCCGTAGTCATTACTTTCAGGGGAAATGCATAGCAAAATACTTTTTAAGCTTACGTTTACGATGATAATTATTTTCGATTATGAAGATCAAGCAAATGTGAGTATTGCCCTGAAATGTCTAAATGATACGTTTCTATGCTTTTTCTTCAATATGACTACTGGAGTACCTCATGCACACATACTGGGACCACTACTAAATGCCTTTGGCAACCTATTTCTAAACAACCAGTTTTCAAAATGGGCTAAACGACACCCATAACGTCAAATAAACCAGGCATTTTTTTATCATATGTTTACATTGATGCAATTATACTAACATTGGACTTTGATTTTTTCCTTGAAGGTTTTGGCTGTATTCTTCCCTCCATAATTCAGATGACAGCTATCCTCATAGACTTTAAAGAAGACAATCTCTCGGAATTAAAAGAAAGCAATGCTTTCAATCTCTACATTGTATTTCCTGTAGCATTTCTTGGCATCTTTTTTGGTTTTATTTCGGCTATCAAACTCAGTCGAAGCGGTATCTACGGGCTGTTTGCAGACAGTGAAAATTCTTTTGATAATCCTAGATGGGTGACCATTTCGTCCTCTGTAACGACTGTTATCAAACGATGCAAGCGACTTGCTTTTTTACTATTGGCTGAATTTATAGTGGCAGCGGTCACGTGGTATTGCCTCTCAGTGGCCCAAATCGTTCACCTCAAAACCCTGGAGCACAATTCGTCCAACAAGTCGCCTTTTTGGGAAGAACACCAAACTACGGTACTAATAGGAATCTTCCAATTTGGGGACGTCATTGGTAGTCTTCTAGGTTCATTATGGAGGTGTTGCTGCAAGTCCCTTGCAAAAAAGTTCCTGAGTGGACTGCATTTACTTCTCTCACTTCTACGGATCGGCTGTGTGATAGCCATTGCTTACTTCATTCGCAGTCCGTATCTAGTTCATAACAATATTTTCATTATGGGATTGTACTTTCTATTGGCAATTACCAATGGGTTTTTACTGGTTGGCATGGCAAACCAAAGCTCGCCACTCTGCGAACTTCAAATCAAAGATTCCTGTCCTATTATATCACAGATCACTTGGTTGGCTATTCAGTCAGGGTGCTTGGTTGGCGTTGGTTTCTCTTTCCTTCCTTTCTCCTAATACCGTATTTACTCGTTTAGACGACGCGGCGTTTATATAATTCCTCATAATCCATGGGACGCGTTTATTTGGGGGCGGCGTTTAAAAACTACTTTATTCAATAAGAATTTGAAATAGAACTTAACGCAAGAGCTAAATAGTACAGTCACTTTGAACTTTAAAATGTTCTAAAAGAAAATAAATTTCCGTTGCTGGTTTAAACTTGAAATATACTTTTTCTTTATCATAAATTGTTATTTCCTCAAATTAACGCCGCACCGTACATGCGGCGTCTATTCGGGGCGGCGTCTAAACGAGTAAACACGGTACTCCAGTTTCGAGTTCTCTGTTGCTCAGAGTTCGTCTTGATTATTGTGTAAAATATCCATGCGTTCCCTCAGTGAAGGTCTGTGAAATTGTAAAGTGTTTGTAATGTTGTCGTTGTGCATTCTTTACTTTACTGTTAATACTTGTGAATATTCTGACGCTGAAATAAGGCTAACACTGTATAAATGAGTCTGTAATCAAGGAACCGAGTGGTATTGTACGAATTCGAGAATGGTAGATTTAGATTCGACCAGTCTGATCAAACACTATTTCGTACAAATCTAAATTTCTTAAAGCGAATTTAAGTGAATAATGAGAATTTGAAATAGCATCGAAACGGTAAGACCGCACTGCACATGTTCGGAAGATTGGCGGGAAAATAGCGGACGCGTCAAATCAAGAATGTCAAAAAAAAAAAAAAAAAACCAACAAAAAAAACAATACACACACACAAGCCAATTTTACTTTACGCTGTCTTCCATAAAATATTAAATGTAATCTGGACTGAACATTTTAAAATATTTAAAGCAAGATCTTTTTCAATAAAATATTTTTTAGTGTATAATTATACATTGGAAAATAAAATAATTACCGAGTAAAAAGCTGTGTCAAGTGGTCAAACAAGGTGCATTCTGGCCTAGCTTGGGTACGACCAGTGCTATGTTATAATAAACAAGAGATGTTTGTGTCAAAGGTAGACCAAAGTTCAACGAGGCTTTATTTTACTAAACTAATCTTGCTCAGGCAGCACACTTGCTCTTTAAAACAAGTGTGAGATCATTGAGGATCAAACTATGGACCTCTTGCTTAGCAGGCAAAACACTAACCAACCAAGCCACACTTGCTCCTTAAAACAAGTGTGTAAGGTCACTGAGAATCAAACTATGGACCTCTTGCTTAGCAGGCAAAACACTAATCAACCAAGCCACACTTGCTCCTTCAAACAAGTGTGTGAGGTCATTGAGGATCAAACTATAACCAGAGAAATGATACATTTTATAATTGAACTTTTAATACTACAGTGTAATCATATCAACACAGTTGCTACAGCCCACACGTCTTAGAGATTGAATATCCACTATATTTCACATGCTCCAGAAATCTTAACCTTTTGCAATCAAATGTCATGCATTACTGATCTACAAACTACTTAACTGGGTGTCCTGTGTGGCAGCAAGAGAGTGAATGGGACACACTTTTTTTTAAAACACAGGTATCCCAGTAACAGAAATGTGTATACAGGGGATTAGATATTATTGAATAAAAAAATTAGTATAGGGGTCTTATATACAGTTGACCACGAAGGTTTCCCTAACGCTATGTCCTGATGCTTCTGCTCTTTGATGTACTGGTACTTCCTTTCGCCTTGTTTTTCACCTTCTTCTTTGAAGACTTATTCTTAACATTTCCCTGGTTTGGTTCGATATTTTCATCATCGCTGATTTCCTCATCATCCTCGTCTTCCTCTTCGAGGTCGAACAATTCAACATCATCATCGTCATCATCGCTTTCAAAAGACGGCATTTGCTTGCGCTTTTTAGTGGATTGTCTTTTGGCTGATTTGGGTGGACGTACCCGCGGGTTTCGAGGAGTACACGCTGTTGTCTTACTGCCTGCTGCGGGATCCTCTTCTGAATCGCTGTCATCGTCAACTGTCTTCTTGCGTCGTCCTCTTGCAGGTGTTACGCCTTTACGCGACCGAGTGGATTTTCCTTTAAATTTTAAAGGTAAAGTTAGTCGTTAAGGCGTGGTGTTAAACTCGTGCTCTCGATCTTATTGCTCACTCACCTGAAGGTGTAGCAGAAACACTTTTCTTTGTCTTAGCAGCCATTCCTGATGCTTTGGACGCGCGCTCGTACCCAGCTTCGTCGTCCATTCCTTTGTTGTGACACTCATCAATGCGTTGTTCTAGCTCCTCTACCAGTGTCTGATAAAATGATTTTACAGTTTAGCAAAGACAGATTGGTATCATGAAGAATATGCGACAGGACGGGACCGCCATTGACGTGGTCATTCAAGCTACGCGAAGATGTAAAAAAGGCAGCACCTTCTCAGATATTTTAAGACCCTGCGGAGTACTTTTTTAGTTGAGGGTTGAACAACAACCTGCTGCACACTAGACCGACGCTCTTACCAACTGAGCTAACCGGGCGGAGTTTAACGCAGAGAAGATTTTGTATGGCTGTAAAATACTCAAGGTAAGTACGTGCCGTGCCGTGCCGTGCCTTGACTGTGTCCAAACAGTTAAGATCTCGTGCGCTTTATATTCCAGGAAGCCTGCTTTAACCTACCTTTAATTCTATTTTCGCAAACTTTTTGGACTTTCCAATGATAGTCATAAAAGACTGGTGCACATCTTCATCACTCAGCTTGTCGTGGAAGCAGCCAAAGTTCTCGTTTAGTTTTCGAATGGCTCGTTCATTGTAAGGAAGAAGAGATAGACAGAAAGCCAGGTCACGCCACTGTCGATCACACCTGTAAAATAGTAACATAAATAAAGTGGGCTTCCTGTGGATGAGCAGGAACTGGGAAGAGTCTGTAGCAAAAAAATCCCTTTCGGTAACAGTTCTCCCTCTGCCACTAGACTACCACAGGAAAACCATCCTTAGTTTTTAGGAATAAGCTTTTACTGGTGAGCCCATCATGGGTTTAACATCCAAGCGCTTTGTTTGGTAGGTGGAGGAATAGACCATTTCACGGATCCGTTACTCAACCTCAGCCTCGTCAGCGTGTAATTATTCTTTAGAATTTGACTACAGTCCGTAGTAATGAAAGGAATTTACACATCAACGAACAATTGAAACACTTAAAAATTTCACAGGTTGTAGGCAATTTCTAAAGAATATATTACACACTGACGAGGCTGAGGTTGAGCCGCGGGATCTGTGAAATGGTCTATTGTAAGCGTGTTGATCCTTGAGTTATTATTTATAAAATTTAATGAAAGTTAAACAGCGAGAAAATATTTTCTGGGGGAGGGGTACGTACCTTGTCGCTCTGAATCGGTGACAGAGTTTTTCCACAAGGCTTTCTGACTGGCGATCTTTCTGGATAAAAGATAACATATACCTGAAACACAATGGGAGAATTGAATGAATGTGCTCAAGTTGAAATCCTATAGCACCTCACCCTCTAGCTCCGCGGTCCCTGCGTAGCAGTCATGTTGTATATAGCGCATAAAAATCTTCACCTTAAAATGCACATGAACCCTTTGACAATACTTTCAGTACTGGTTCTGCATAATTTTTTTAGTCATGCTAAAAACATTGCATTGTTTCTGCCCTACAACATGGCTGTCGCGAAACCACTTGGTAACTATAGATAGATAGGTAGCACCTTTATTTAAGTACGATAGTTTCATAAATGTAAAATACTTCTTTACATGAGAGTCGTACAATAAAAATCCTATTTAAAAACAATGTGTGAAAGCTTTAAAAAGAAACTAAGATGAACTCATTATATAAAACACATAAATTATCGGTTCAACCAGCTTTAAATAGAAACATAAAATCACTTAGACACATCAGTTCTTTTTAAAAATAATCCTCGAAGAAGATGTTCGGATTTGTGAGGGAACAGAAGTCCATAATTTAGCTCCTCTATAAGAAAAACTTTTTAAAAGGAATTCTGTTCTCGGTTGAACTTCTAATTTATCTTCGTTATCTCTCAGTTTTGATTCGTAAAATAACTGTAAGTTTACCTTAGAATATTCCTGAACGGCTCTTCCTCGATCCCACAGTCAGGGTCTGATAATCTACTGATGATGTCTGGTAAGACGTTATACACAGCGTTACCCTGTAGAATAAAGGTGGACATTACTTCATAGTGGTCGGTTATTGGTACCATCCGTCGAGAAGTTTTATCAAACAGTTGCTATATCTTCCCATTCTTTTATCGAGCTATCCGGCACCAATCCTACGATCCGTCTATTCAAAAATCCATCCATCCATCCCTTCCTCTATCCCATCTATCCATCCAT